CAAAGTAGTCCTCAGTTCTTGTTCACATGAATTATAATCCACAATCTAAATAATCCATTGGTTTATTTTGATATGCTAACCAACTAGCAATCTATTAATGTTGTAAAGCTAATTATACAATGGGACGATGAATAAATTTTACTATTTAATACAGAAGTCAGTTAGTTTGATAGATTTTATATGCTCTTCAAATCGAAGGTACCAGCTCAAAGTAGTCTTCAGCCGGTGTTCACATGAATTATAATCCACAATCTAAATAGTCCATTGGTTGATTTCGATATACTGACCAACTAGCAATCTGTTAATATTGTAGAATTAATCATACCGGGGAGACGAGGAACAAATTTTACTACCTAGTGCAGCAGTCAATCAATTGGAGAGATTTTATATGCTTTTCACACGAAAATTTTGAAGGCAATACCCCTTAAGTCTGTGTTCACATGAATTATAATCTAAATAGCTAGGCGGTATATCTTTTAGTTAGTTAGGGAGATCTTATATGATTTTCAACAGCTTAAATATGTCTTTATTTGGATCATGTCTTTATTTGCAATCAAAAATTTAAACATACAAAATTTTAATATGTTATTTATTTTAAATTTTAATATATATGAACAAAATGATATAGAAGAACAGTATCTATGATGTATTTTAAAAGAGCTACCATAATATAAATAAATACGAGGAAAAAAGACTAGTGAAATCCAAAGACTGTTTCTCAAATTGTGCTACCGAAAATGGTATGAAAATAATAAATGCATAGACAACAGCAAAAAGTAAAGAGAGTTAAACAGTTAATCAGAATTAACTCGTGTCGTGTGAAAAGCATATCATGTACAACGACAACACAGGACCAATGTGTGATGTAGTAGTGTAGAATAGATTTCTGATGCGTTTTGAATCGTTTCATCGTTTATTAAGTCGTGGGTCTTTAGAAATATATTCTGTGTAATTCCAATGTAATAAATGCTAACACTTCTATTTGATTTTGTTCCTTAAATTTAAGTAAAGAGAATTGATATTTACCTAGAGATTTAAGTATTTTTTAGATTATGATAATTCCAATCTCTAATACTTCTTTTTCTTTTTGTTCTTTAAATTAAACTGCAGAGAGTTGCAATTACCCTACAGATTTAAAGATTTCTTAGATCGTAGTCTTTGAACAGTATTAATCTTAACATAACCTTGTGATGGTTTGAAACTTTTCTACTATACTAGTAAGATTTTTTGATATATACTGTTGGTTTTCAGATCTTGATGCAGCCAATATGTTATTTTACTAGTGAAATGCCATATTAAGTTTTTTTAAAATGCTCAACACTTCTCTAGGTAGCTCAGTAGTAAAAGTGAAAAAACTTTTTTCAATTCGTTAATTTTATGGAATCATAAAAAAAGTAAAGCTTTAATCAATTCTTTAATTTAATGATGTGATAAAAAAAAACATTTTAAATTTTATTTATTTAAAACTACAGTTCAATTTATTATATTTAAATTTTTATTAATATGTCCTTTTAAATTCGGCAAATAAATCTTATATTTAACATCAATAATATCTGAAATTATTTATAATAAATGTTAAATAGTGTTTGAATACATTCAACTTTCGTTCATATTAAAAAATTTATACCTAAATTAAAAATTTTTTTTTTGAATATAACAACTAATGAACTTCAATATTTGTATTCATTCAGACTATCAAATATAAGTTTCGTTTTTATTCAATAATAAAACTGTAAGATCATAAGTTTTTTTTGAGCATTTTATGAAAATTTACTTCTTGTAAAATTTTTATGTTAAAGTATAAAAAATTATAATTTTCCATAAAAGTGATATTCATTTTAATGTAAATAATTTTTATTGAAAAATTTGCTACTCTCTACTGAACTCTCTTGATTTTTACTGCAATGACTTAGCACTTTTTCCTGACATTCTGACATCCATTAGAAACCTCGGCCAGAAAGAAGAAATAATGTATAATTATTGTGCACGGGGCATGCCTTCATTTAAAATGTTTTCACATTTTTATACAGAATTGTGACAAGGCCCATTTTTCACTGACATACATTTGGAAGAAGAGTGACTATTTGGATTCTCGAAGCAAAAAACTGTTAAAAATTAGCATTGTAATTCTAGTTGTAAGTATCTGCGTATTATATACAATTTTATTTAACGGAATATTAGTTTCAATTTATTTATTTAAATATCATTATATACTGTATATATGTGTAAGATATTTATTGCAATAATGTACTATGTTCAAATATTCTATATAGAAGTATTATGAATTATGATTGAACTGATGCAAAGATCTCATTGTAATGCAAGGTTTTCAATATATCATTTTTTTTTGACAGTAGGTGGAAGCATCGAAAGCCACCATGTGAGACTTGAACCCACTAAACCACCTCATAGGAATGAATGAAGAAGATTTCCACAGCATTGTGAAAACTTCATTCCAGTAATCAGGGGAGAGAGGAGAAAAAATAGACTTATTACCTAGCGTGCTAGATTTATCTAAGCCAGAAAGCAAGGGCGTAAATTATAAAATATATCATTATAATATATCATTAAAAAAATAATAATCTTATAGTACTTTTATTCCCAAATTTTCAGTAACGACTATGAAAGATGGGAAGACTCAACGATATGTAGGCATCTGTATGCAGTTTGGCCACGTTTAAATAAAATAAAATCAAACTCTCTCATTGAGTTGCCTCATAGAAATAATAGTCTTATAGTAGGTTTACTTACTGGTCACTGTATTTTAGGTAACCTAAAGTAATAGACTACATCCCCCTTTCTATTATACTGCCGCGGTTGTGGAGAAGACGATGAAAGTATCTCCCATCTGCTTTGATTCTATACAGCATATGCGCGGCGCTGTCTTATCACTTTAGGGGCTTTCTTTTTTTAAGGATCTTGGTGAACTGAAAGACCTCCCAATGACAAGCATTATAAACCTTGTCAATGGTTCTAAATGGTTGTAACCCTTGAGTTTTTAATTATACAGTAACATAATAGTGGATCTCTTGGAATCGCTGGTATAATCTACCTACCTACCTGGTAATGAGTATGATGTGTCGTTTTAATATGATTTTAGTTTAAGTTACGTTTCATGAAATTTTATCTATGAGTTATTTATTGTAAAGTTATATATATGGTGGGACGTTGGGACAGCGCACTGTCAAACAAGTGGCCCCACTGAAGTGAAGGATTAGTCGAAGTAGACTTCGATTCTCGGATGTTGTTATTGAGTTAAAGCTGGAGTGGCTTCCGTTCGCATAAGTACATCTTTTGTTAATGCAAGCAGCTCATTTAGCTTGAGGTTTCCTGCCAAGTCGTCACCAACCCAATGGTGTCCCAAGACAGTCTTCCTCCTACTTGCCAGTGCTGGATATTGGCACAATATATGCACCGCTGTCTCCTTTTCTTCTAGACATAGTCTGTAAGTGTCTTCCTCAGCAAGAGTTATGTTTTTGGGGTGATACTTGAAGTTGCCATGTCCAGTAATTAGTGAGGTCAGCCAGCTTAGGGTGCTCCGCGAATAGCTAAGCACCTTTATCGCTTCTCTGACCCACGGTATTGGTAACATGAGTTTGGTCTGTCTACAAGTGCTCAACTCTCTCCATCTATTAAGATGAAGTGAGGTTATCTACTTATAGACATAGGCTGCCGTCATGCTATACCCCAATGGTATTCTGGCCTCCTGGCCACAGAAATTATGGCTTGATCCTTGCTTTGCAAGTTCATCTGCCTTCTCGTTTTGCTCAATACCGATGTGTCCTTTAACTATTGTAAAGTTAGTTTTTTTTGTTTAATATCTAAAAAGTGCATTTATAATAAGCGTGTATTTTGTAAATAAAGATACATGCTCATGATCTCTTTAATCTGTTTCATTATCGATTGTACTATTAAATCTGACTTATGTGAAAGTACATATGTTCTATTAAATCAGACAAATTGTCTTCAATGTACTTTGAAGTGGTTTGTTTTGAGATAAAAAATAGTTGTAAAACCTAAATTGTTGGTATTTTATTTAAATTTATTTATATTGTAAGTCTTATCATGTAAGTGGTACCACAACGGGCCATTATTTGTGTTCAGGTGGGCTATCTTGGATAAAAAGTCGTTGTTCCAACCTTACTTAATCTAAGTCATGACTAGTAGACTAAGTACCGATTTTATTCATTAGATTTTATAATGTACTTTTCTTATTTATTAAGAATAAAATATTATTTTTTAACCAAAAACAGATCTAATTATTCAGATAAATTTTTTTAAGGAGGTTTCTTTTCTTTTCACAATAGTTTGTATAAATCATTGTAGATGACGTTCCTTTCCAAATTCAAATCTATTTATTTTTATTAACTCAAATGTTTAAATTTTACTTTAAAAAGATTTATTCACCATTCGGTTAAAGCTTTTGAGATATTTTATTAGCTTAAAATTATGCAGTATCTTTTTATTTCTGCTTGAATATGTTAAATCTATTCTTTATGTTGAGCTTTTTGCGGGTGGAGGGCGTGCAATATTCGGGCAGCTTGAGCTTGTTTGTCATGTTGATTAGATGTATC